GTAGAGACAGGCCTGGCGGTGGGGGGTGTGTTCATCCCCCTGGAGCCGTTGGAAGACCTGGGGGTCCGGTTAATCCCGACCTCCGTCCCTCCCTTCCTACCCAATGCCGCCCTGCTGCCTGCCCTTTCTACCCTGGGGCGACCTATCTCTGTTATCAGCCCTCTTCCGTTGGGCTGCAAAGACCCCGCCCCCTGCCTTTGTTTGATCCCGCATCCGCCTCCTTCGGGAGATGGATCGCGGCTCCCGCTTCTTCTACGCCCTGGAGAAAAAGAGGGGGGGGCCAAGAAGCACGTCACCTGCCTCCTGGCGGAGGACGGCTCCCCCCTCACGGATCCGGCAGAGATGTGCGGAAGGGCCAGGGCCTTCTACGCAAATCTTTTCTCCCCGGATCCGACCCATCCTAAAGCTTGCAGAGTGCTCTGGGACAGATTCCTGACGGTCAGCATGGGCGACCGTGACCGGCTAGAGCTGCCTCTCACTCTGGCCGAGTTCTCGGAAGCCCTCCATCGCATGCCCACCAATAAGTCTCTGGGCATGGACGGGCTGACTGTGGAGTTCTACCGCGTGTTCTGGGACGTCCTCGGCCCAGACCTAGTCACCATCTGGGCCGAGTCTTTGCAGAGCGAGGTCCTCCCTCTTTCGTGCAGGCGAGCCGTGCTCGCCTTATTGCCGAAGCGGGACCTCCGCAACTTACGGAATTGGCGTCCCATCTCGCTCCTCAGCACGGACTACAAAATCGTGGCAAAGGCCATCTCGATGCGGCTAGGGTCCGTGCTGGCGGACGTGATCCACCCAGACCAGACCTACACCGTCCCGGGCCGCACAATATTTGATAACCTGTATCTGGTCCGGGGCCTCCTGGAACTAGGGTGTAGGGATGGTCTGTCGTTCGCCCTCTTGTCCCTGGATCAGGAGAAGGCATTCGACAGGGTGGACCATGGGTATCTCCTGAGCACTCTGCAAGCGTTCGGCTTCGGACCCCAGTTTGTGGGTTTTCTCCAGGTGCTGTACGCTTCTGCAGTGTCTGGTCAGCCTCAACTGGACCCTGACCGAGCCGGTCAGCTTCGGGCAAGGACTACGGCAGGGGTGTCCCCTCTCGGGTCAGCTGTACCCTCTGGCGATCGAGCCCTTCTTCTGTCTCCTCCGTCGCAGGCTGACGGGGTTGGTGCTCCGAGAGCCAGAGCTGCGGCTGGTCCTGTCGGCATATGCCGACGATGTGCTCCTCGTGGTCCAGGACCTGGGCGACTTGGCGCGGGTGGAGGCTTGCCAGGCCATCTACTCGGCAGCCTCCTCCGCCTGGGTCAACTGGGTTAAGAGCTCTGGCCTGTTGGTCAGGGACGGGTGGCAGGCGAGCTCCCTCCCACCCACGCTTCAGGCCATCCGGTGGAGCGCGGGTCCGCTGCTCTATCTCGGCGTTTACCTTTCTGCCACACATCCGTCTCCGCCAGAGAACTGGCACGGCTTGGAGGGCAGGGTGACGGAGCGGCTCCGGAAATGGACAGGACTACTCCGGTGCCTCTCTCTTCGAGGGACAGCACTGGTGCTCAATCAACTAGTCCTGTCCATGCTCTGGTACCGGCTCAACACCCTGGTCCCGGCCCCGGGTTTCCTGGCCAACCTCCAGACAGCGATTCAGGAGTTCTTTTGGCCAGGAATGCACTGGGTCTCTGCAGGGGTCCTCCACCTGCCCCTGGAGGAGGGAGGACAGGGCCTGAAGTGCCTATACAGTCAGGTCCATGTCTTCCGCCTTCAGGCCCTGCAGAGGCTCCTGTATGGTGCAGGTAGTCCGACATGGAGAGTACTGGCGCACGCCTTCCTGCGCCGCTTCCGAGGGCTCCGATGCGACCGGCAGCTCCTTTATCTCCATCCGAGAGGTCTTCCGCGAGACCTCTCTGAGCTGCTGGTCTTCTACCACGATGTCCTCTGGACCTGGAAGCTGTTTTTAATGACCAGGTCCGTGGCGGCTGATCTCCTTGCAGAGCCCCTGCTACACAACCCTCAGCTTCGTGTGCAGGTGGCGGAGTCCCCCGTGGTGCACCAGAGGCTGGTCTTGGCAGAAGTCACCAGGGTCGGAGACCTCCTGGACTACGACCGGGGAGACTGGCTGGATCCTCTGACACTCGCTCAGCGCATGGGGATCTCCAGACCTCGCACTCCCCAGTGCATACTTCAGGAGGTGAAGGCTGCTTTACCGCCGGCTGCTCGGGCCTACCTCGATGGGGTCCTGCGAGAGGGCATGCCCCACCCACCCTCTACCCCAGGCCCAGTGGACCTTTTCATCGGGCCCCTGCCCCGTGGACCCAACCACCCCCCCCCGCCCTTCCACTGTGAGCCGGCTGCACGATCTGCAGCCGGTTCTGTTCCAGACCGCGCCAAAGAAGCATCTGTACACGCTCATGCTCCACACCCTTCACTTCCTCACTCTCGCGTCCTGCCCCGACACAAAGTGGCGGGACCTCCTGCCACCTCTCGAGGGTGAGAAACCCTGGTGGGTCTTCCTATACTCCACCCTGGTTCCAAGGCCCGCCAGGGATATCAGTTGGCGGCTCCTTCACGGGGCCGTGAGCACGGTCGTGTACTTAGCGCGGTTTACCCCTATCCCAAACACCTGCCCCTTTTGCGGCATGAAGGAAACCCTGGCGCACATTTATCTAGAGTGCGCCAGATTGCAGCCCCTATTCCGGCTCCTCTTAGATATATTATTACGTTTTTGGTTGCACTTTTCCCCTCACCTGTTCATCTATGCACTCCAGCCGCACTCTTCTACACCAGGGGCTGGAAGTGGCTGGTGTGGAAACCAGCTATGGAAGCTCTACTCTAGCTGGGGACTCCTTCATGCCAGAGCACCCCACTGGGAGAGTTCAGTGGCCTTTTCAGTGCATTTGTGCCACCAGGTGGATGCACAGAGGTTGCAGTGAAGAAAATAACCTGGTTCAAAAGAGATGCCCTAGTTATGAGCACCAGCCTATAGATTAGCCACCAGACGGAATCTAACATTCATTCCTGGACAGCAACTGCACATTTATCTTCCAGCAGCCTGAAAACAGGAGCCCTAAGTCTGCTCCTGTAACCAAATTTCCCACATAGTAAGAGTCATGCATTATATTTTATGAAGCTAGCTGACATTGGAATTGCAGCAGTGCATACAAGTAGACTTTGGTTCAAACATCAAAAGTAGAGATCAAGGGCTATCACAAAAGTTGATGTGAAGAATAAAAGGTGAAGTGCTAAGTAAATATTGCACACTTAAGAGATTAGATAATCTGTAAAATCATATTTGATTAGAATATTAAGAATGAATTTTTTAAAATTATATAAGCTTTGTCTCTTTAAAAATAGTCTAAGATAACACTTTCATCCCAAATAATTAACAGACGAAAGCATGGTCCTGAAGGTCAGCAGAAAAAGCTGTCATCTTTGGGTGGGATTTTTATTTTATTTTATTTTATTTTTTTTTAAGATGGACGGGAGGAACAGGAAAACAGAACTGAAACTCTTTATCCAAAGCCATAAGAGAAAAAAAAAGAGACAAAGGCTTTTATTCTATTCCAACTAAACCAAAGGCAAATCTATCTGGCTTAGTTTTTGCTCAGTACTGTGATCTGATAGCACAGGTGGAAATAGGACCATAGATGAGAATCATGTTTAAGGAGCATAGTGACTGATATACAAAGAAAGCCTGAATACTGTTGTGGGGGAAGAGTGGGAGGGGCTTCTGCTTGGTTTTTTGCATTAGAAGTACCAGGTCTTGTGCTCCCTATTTTGGCTCCAGCCCTTCCCTGACCTTGAAGGACGAAGAAACTAGTTTTTTGGGCCTCAAACATGCAGCAGTGCTGAATCTCTCTCTCTCTCAAAAAAAGTTCTTCTCTCAAGTGTTTGCCAAGAGTTTAAGTTAAATAGGTGTTAATAAAACCAAACTAAATTCAAGTATCAGGGGGTAGCCGTGTTAGTTTGTATCCACAAAAACAATGAGGAGTCCGGTGGCACCTTAAAGATTAACAGATTTATTTGGGCATAAGCTTTCGTGGGTAAAAAAACCCACTTCAGATGCATGGAGTGAAAATTAGATACAGGCATATTATAAATTACATATAATATGCCTGTATCTGTAATTTTCACTCCATGCATCTGAAGAAGTGGGGGTTTTTTTACCCACGAAAGCTTATGCCCAAATAAATCTGTTAATCTTTAAGGTGCCACCAAACTAAATTCAAAGAGTTTTAAATACTGTGAAAAAAATTCTCTCTCTCTCCCAGTTGCAGATTTCAATCTCCTCTGATCTCACACTAGCTCTCCAGTCTTCCAAAATGCCCCTCTACAAAAATTGGAAGGGGTGTGTGTGGATTTTCAGGCCTTTTTGATACATGATAAAGCAGCAGAAAGGACACAGATATTTTTTCTCCCCAGGTCACCTTGAAGTCCTTTGTTTTGTCTCATTTGTCAACAGAGAGAGTGACTCTGGTGTAAGGAAAGTCTTGAAAATTTGCAAACACCTATACCAGTAGAAGTCTCTCCTAAATCATCATTTCTGCAATTTTGCCTAAAACGATTCAATTTAACGAGGCTATCAAGAGGTGTATATGCCCTACTGAGTCGCTGGGTTAGCTTGATATTGTAACCCAGGTCCTTCCTCTTCCCTCTATGACCCTCACTTGTTTGTCAATCTGAATTTAGAATGTAAGCTACTCAGGTGCAGGGCTATGGGCCTGATTCTGCACTGCCTTGCACAATTAAGTCCAGTGAGAGTAAGGTAGCTGCAACTTGCCGTCAGATCAGAGTGCTAACATTTTACACTAATCTTATAGATGTGTTAATGACTCCACTGCTTTGCACTTTGAGTTTTAGACTCCAAGTCATTACTTGTTTCTGCAAAGCAGCTTGCCAACCACTTCTGGATACCCAAAAGTAATAAATAAGCTTATGAGCACCAATGAGGAGAGCTCAAGAGGACCAGACCAAAAACAGTTAAAAATAACTTTATTAGTAAACTAAATGCTCTGTGTGTGTCCTTAACACTACTGAACCCTTTCTGCATCCTACCACTTTTCATGTAAAAGATAGTATTTTTTTAAAAAATGCTAACAAAATTTCTTTAATTTCTTCTTGTAATCAATGCATACAAATCTTTTTTGCATTTTTCCATGGTATACCTTGTCTACATTTTACTGGCCTTCGCTTTGCTGTCATATAAAATAAGACTACAGTGCAGTTTTGCTTAACACCACAAGACATTCTGACAATGAAATGGGTTTGAGAAACATTCAGTGTTACTTATTGTTATCCTCCCACCACTTTAAGTATACTAAGAACCAAATCAGATGGTCACCATTTAAAGTTAGCGCCAACAACATTTTTTAACCTGAAATCTTACAAAGGATGCATCTTTTGCACAGTTTCTGAGCGTGTCTTTTCATTTCCTTTGAAAGCCTTTGAATCATAGGCCCACACCACGTCTATTCCTTCTCCAGTAGTATGATCTGGCATCCAATGTGGGAAAGGAAAACGGCAGGCAACAACTCTGGCATTGTGATCAAGTTCTTCTTCAAGCTTCTTCTCCAACTGTGGCATCTGTGGAGCAACAACAAAAGCCCTTCAGATGGTGTGCAAGACAGAAGCGTTCCCACTTGAAACTACTTCAGGCACTCAAAACTAATCCAAGGCTTGAAGATCCCTGTTTTAGTCTTAGAAAGCTTCCATGATGCAGGGTCATATGCGAACTTTGATGTGCAGGTACACAGTATATGAAGCCAGATCACGGTCTTTAATTTATTCTGATTAATGGTAAAATCAAGAAAGTTTTAAGTTTACATAACTTTTTAGAACTTAAATATCACATTTATTGGGAGCTAGATCATCCTCTACAGGGAAAAACTTGTGTAGGGGGACAGGATACTCCACACGTTTTGACTCAATTTAATCCAGCTCACTGGACTGGGGGTGGGGTTTGACCCTCTATGGAACATCCATGTGGTTTCAGACCCCTAAAGTTTTATGATGTTCCAGGATCCATACACATCTTGGAGAGTGCCTCTAAGCTGCTTCATGCCCCTATGGCAGCTTTTGGAGAAGTCAACGGATCCCTGATGGCTAATGATCAAATCAACAGGAGTGGGGGTTGGAAGGTGGAGTTACTGAATAATATTGTGGTTGAAGAGGAAACAATGCTACAGAAAGGCCAGTCCCCTTGGGTCTACCCTCTCACCTTGTGCAGGTTAATCCCTCCCACAATAGCACAGGGCCAATATGCATAACTCCCCTTACACCTACAACCCTCTGGCCCGAGATCCACTCAATCCAGCTTCCCTCCACTTGCAGAAGGCTGAGTATATAGTCAGGGACAAAGAAAATAGGATTTGCCTGACCAGAACAGACCAATGGTTCGTCTAATTGGTCATTTTACCTCCAACAATAACTTATACCAGATGCTCAGAGGAAAGTGAAAAAGATCCAAAACGTACCTAGACCTAAAAGGAATTCCTTCCTAACCCCAGATGCGCACCACTTTATGACCTGAAGCAAGAAGGCTGACAGACCTTCTAATTTGTATCCTGGCTCAGAAAAGGGCTCATGGTATGCATATACCTATCCAAGTTTAACTGTTTAGATTTTTGCCTCAAAATCTGCTTGTGGCAGTGAGTTATACAGACTAGCTGTAGTGCTGTGTGGAAAAGTATTTCTTTTTATCTACTATAATTTATTTTCTTTTTATTTTCTAAAATAATGACCATGCGTCAAAGAAGAAAAGACTAATTTATGCATATAAATAAGTTTAAAAAGCCACAAATCACAAATACAAATTCTGTTAAAAGGAACCAAAGTTTCTCAAAAATACAAAAAATGTTTTATATGGGATTCTCCATGTCATCAGTGGCCTCAGTCAGACAATAAGACATTCTTTCACTAGGACCAGAAGACAAATTTAGAGAAACGTTATCAAAGGTTGTAAATAGCGTCCACTATCAAAAACTTTTCTACAGCTGCAGAATACCTGTTATAATAATTCTATTAATAGCTAAATTAAAGTTTCAAATGGATCATTTCCTTTGAGGCAATGACATTAATAACTTAAAATGTACCAAAGAGAACTTTAAAATAATGTACTGTCCCATACTCTGATTTTGTTCATACAAAGAATGATTGTGAACATTCATGTTGATATTTCTTATAGTTTCCATTATTTTAAAATGACATTAGAATCTCAGACTGAGCCAAGATAAACCTGAAAATAAAGGAGCCAATTCTGTATAGAAATTAAATCACTAAAGCATGCATAAATATGCAACTAATCTAATTCTTAATATACAGAATACGAAGTGGTTGTGTGTCATGTCTGCATAATATCAGGCATAATTATGTTTGAGAGTTATATAAATTCATTAATTGTAACCCAGTTATAACTTTTATCCCTCAACTGACAAAGTACAGATATAAAAGATCTTAAAATAAACTGGAATTTACCCATAAAATTATTAGTAACAATAAATGTCTCAGACATTGACTGTTTAGATCAGGGGTCGGCAACCTACGGCACGCGAGCCGATTTTGAGTGGCATGCTGCCTGCCCGGTGAGAGGAGGAGGAGGAGGAGGAGGGGCAGGAACGTACTACGCCGGGGGGGGGGGGGGAAGCTTGGTCCTGCAGCAGCCAAGCTTCCCCCCTCCCCCGCTTCTTCCCACAGCTTGGTGCATTCCGGCCCCTGCCCCTGCCCCTCCCCCTCCCCGCGCCGATGGCCCTTGCGAGGGGGAGCTGAGCCGAACGGCAGCATGCTCACTGCTCCGTAGAGCAGGCAGACAGAGGTAGGGACGGGCCTTGGGGAAGGGGGTGGAATAGGGCATATCCCTCCCAGCCCCCTGACATGAGCCGCTCAGGGCAGGGAGCTGGGAGCACCCCCACGAGCTGAGCACCCCAGCCCTCTGCCCTGAACCTCCCCCCCACACCCAGCCTTCTGCCCTGCACCTCCACACACCCCCTACACCAGCTTTCTGCCCTGCACCCCCCCCACCCAGCCTTCTGCCCTGCACCGCCACCCCCCCTCAGCCCTCTGCCCTGACCCCTGAATCCCCCCACACCCCCAGTCTTCTGCCCTTACCCCTGAATCCCCCCACACCCCCAGTCTTCTGCCCTGAACCCCCCACATCCCCACCGCCCTCTGCCCTGAACCCCACATACACCCAGCCTTCTGCCCTGACCTCTGAACGCCCCCCCAGGTCTGGGGTCCCGGCTGCCAGTCGTTTGCCAGCCGGCATCCCGGCTGCAGGCCCCGCTCAGCCCACTGCCGGCCTAGGTGAACAGAACCCCAGGCTGGAAGCGGGCTGAGCAGGCTGACGGCGTAAGATCAGCATTTTAATTTAATTTTAAATGAAGCTTCTTAAACATTTTGAAAACCTTGTTTACTTTACATACAACAACAGTTTAGTTATATAACATAGACTTAGAGAGAGACACCTTCTAAAAAACGTTAAAATGTATTACCGGCACGTGAAACCTTAAATTAAAGTGAATAAATGAAGACTCGGCACACCACTTCTGAAAGGTTGCCAACCCCTGGTTTAGATAATTGGGTTTTTATAGAAGGATGCTGATTTTTATTTTGTGCCAGCACATGCTCATAGATTTATTTACTTCAGCTTAACAGACACTAAAGCAATAGGCACTATACAAATATATTATAAAATATATACAAAATTTTCACTGGATTAACATGTTTAAAAAAATTTCCCCAACCCATCCCAAAGTTCTCTTTCAGTTCACCCAATATCACAAAACATCTCCATCCACCACAGATAAGATCCTCACCCTTCAATCCACCCACACGCATATACTGATCGACCCTCTCCTTCAAAGAAAGCATGTGGGAACAGAGGTCTTGCTGTGTGGCCTGTGGATCAATAAATCCAGGCCCTGTCTTTGTAAGTTAGTCTTAGACATTAAATAGAAAAAAAGTAATATGCTCATGGCTTCAAACTAGGCCAACATTGTAACTGACCTTTCTATAAGTAATAAGATATATTCATCCACAGAAAAAATGAGAGAGAAAATGTGTTACAAAGCATCCTGAGGCTGGGCTCTCACAACCACGATACTCAAGTCAATGGGGGCATTCCACAACCATAAGAAGGCCCTCAGCATTTACTTCAGACATTTGGGCCCATTGCATTTATGGCAACATTTGTGATCATACCAAAAAGTATTTTATTACTGGAGGGATTAAGGAAAAAAAAAAAAAAAACCAAAAAACCCACCACAATATTGGATGAAAGAAGTAAAATACTCTTTTCTTCGCAAATGTTGTGGCTCTTCCTTCTCCCTTATTAGGCCAGATAGCAACAATGACTAATTTACCTCATCTTAGGCTGCTACTAATTCTGAAGTTTGTTCCAAACACATATGTCTAATCAATTTGTTCACATTTGTTTTTCTGTGCAACTGTTAACTTCTTATTTGCCAAATAGTCTTCCTGCCTCTGCACCTTTGCCCTTAGAGATTCTGCAATGCGACTACAGAATTTCTAATTGCAAATTCATATTTGTACTGGCAAGTGAACCAGAGTGTGATCATAATATCACTCAGTTCAGAAAGGGTGGTCTAATTTCTTCACAAATTAACTGCTTCAAAGAACAATTACTACATGACAGTCTTGTCAAAATCATGCAACTGAACACTTTGTTTTGTAATTACAGATATCCCTGTAACAAAGGCATCTGCTGCCCTCTCCTGGAACAAAGATTGCTACACTGCAGTAAATCAACCAAAATGGCTGGGTTATTACCCAGTCTCTTGGGAATGCATACAATAAAACTGCTGGAACACTTGATAATGCAGACTTTCCTTCAATATGCCAACTACAGAAGTAGAAATAAAACTACATTTTAAAATACACAGTTTTCAAAATGAGAGTGCTGTGGTTGGTGTCTGAATAAGATAAGCTTTTAGTCCTATTCCCTACAAGAGAAAAAAAGGACAGAAAACAAAACAGAATGTAGGTATTATTATGCTTCCTACTGTGACTCCCTGTTTATGTTACAACAATATTTTATCACACACTGTTCCCATTTTACACTATGACCATATAACACACTGCTCTGGCATAAACTCTTTACACATTCCATCCCACACAGTCGCCTGCCCTAAGGAATGAAACTACTTACAAACGTTAATGGGGGAGTGAAATGGAGATATCTCAGTGCATTCATAACACATACAAAGCAAGTGCTCTTATAATACTACTGACATAAAAGTATGTAAATGGAATAAAGAAATCTTATATTTTTACATTTTCCTTCAAAGGGCAAGAAAATACAACCAAATAGCCCTTGAAAAAAACACAAAAATGAATTTTAAAGTTTGAATAAGTCCATCTACTGTACCATAAAAGTGGTCTCTCTAGAAATACCATTTTCACAGTAATTTTAAAAAGCCATACAATTTCATCTGGAACTTGACATTATGGGTGATACACAGCTTTCTCAAAGTGAAAAACAATTTCCCTGTATGCTCTGCAAACTAGCAATTATATTAAAAGCACCCCATCTTACTAATCTTTACAAAGGCAACTGAAGACTATTGCAGAACTACGAACTGATACACCACTGAGGTACTTTCAGTTTTTGAAAAGTGCATAATCAAAGTTCAATACTCTGCTCTTTACCATATAAGTCCACAGAAGTGAGTTGAAACTAGTCAATACTCATCCTCCCTGAAAACTATTTTACTGAAAATCTGGAGAATGATCAATTTCAATGATTAAATGGAAATTGGAATTTCAAAATGGAATTTTGAACATTCCATTAACTTTTCAAGCAGTTTAAGCTGTTTGTAAGAGTTCACAGAACTATGGTTCTGAACTATATTGGAATTTGGACTTCATGAGGCAGTGCACAAATTGGAATTTCAGAACAGATAGACAATTGAGATTTATATCATCTGCACAAGTTTCAAGTTGTAACAACAGGTTGTATTATTTAGTCTATAAACTATAATCAGCATTTTGTCAAACCAATGACTTGAATGTCAAAGGTCCTGATAAGTGGACTCACTTTACAGATCAATATCTCTATGCTGAATGCCTTGCTATTATGGTCATAAAACACAATAAATACAATGAAAGAATGAAAAAAGACTTACCATTTGAGGTACCCCAAAAACAACAACATTTGTATACTGGCAAAAGCTAACCTATTAAAAAAAATTATATATTACCGTCATTGTGAACAATTAATATTTATAATATGAGTGGATACTGGAGGGAATGTTAGTAATAATAGTCTTCCCTTTATTCACACCCTTTTTCACAGCCAGGCCTCCTACCCCAGGGACAAGGACAGGAAATGATACAGAAGCCACTACACCAGCTTAACATAGCCAAGGATTCCCCAACACAGGGTAGCTTTGCACCAATTGAGTAGCACAAAACTGCTTCAATGTCACCAAGGCTCTGGCCCTAAGTTCCAGAATATTAATCAATTCAGAGAAGTTGCACAAGTTTACTCATTTTTACTCCTGTTCTTATCCCTAAGGAAAACATCCTAACTTTGCCACCTGTCAATTAAGTCTTTAGCAATATATCTAGAGTTAAAACTGACTAACCATTTCTATTCCACGTCTGTGTTTTGAGTCCCTCACAACTTTCTGCAGTTTTTAATTATTGGGAAGGAATTATCTGGGTCAGTTCTCTGCCTTAAGGTGATTTTTTTTAAAAACTCTCATTCAAAAATAATTGATCTGGGGGGGAGAGATACACTTTTCCCAGTCTATAAAATTCTTGCCATTCTTTTTCTTTATCGCTCAATGGCTGAAACAGCAAGGGGTAGGTAAACTGAATTCTTGCAGATAATTAATTTTTCACTTGACCAGAGCTCAGTGTTCTGATAGAAAATTATTCTGATTCATCTGAATTATGAGGTTTTTGAACAAAATCAAACCGTACTACGTTGCTTTAAAACAGCTCTGTTCAAAAATGGATTGAGTGCACGCGCATGCGCACATATTATATACACATATAAAATGAAAGATAGTGCTACATGACATGTATGCACAATAAGGAAGCTGCATATGAACATGCACTTCTTATACAGTGCCCATTGAGGCCTGATCCTGCACTATTACAGAGAATAGCCTTGCCACTGATTTCAGTGAATGCAGGATTAAGATCTGTCTAAGGCAGGACTTTGTAGCACCCAGCCTCATTCAGTAAGTACTTAAATGTGAGCAAAATACTCAATGAATCAGGGCTCCAAAAGAGCCCTTGCAAAGGGAGTATATCTGAGGACAAAAAAACAACAAAGCATTTAAGCTAGTGAGTAGTCATAGTTAGCATGTGCTTGTGTACTTTGCTGTATCAGGGCTTGAAAGAGCACATTATGGGGGACAACATTCCAGTGGTGTCTAATAAAATAATTCCAGATTATAAAAAATTTTTCTTTCCTTTTCTTTACAAGAAATACCTGAAACTTCCATTATTTAAAAAAAAATACTGCAATAAGAGAATGTTGAGGCTGCACAGTAGCATACTCAAGTCAGTAAATGCTAAAGTTGAACTTGCCAGTGGAACCATAACTCTTTTCCCTTGTGCACATGAATCAGTTACATAATACTACACTATTCTCAAATAATACAAAATAATCTAGTTAAAGTTGTAGAAACTATATATTTTTATACATTAGCATATTTAAAGTTGTAGAAAATATTATATGATATAGGGTATTATTTGAGAAACAGTGTGATTATCTAATTAATATCTGCATCATAATGCATGAGCACATTAGCTTTGCATCTTTACCTTTGGTATTTCCTGACTTTTGAATGCCTATATGTATAACATTAACATTATTTTAGCATAGTTGGTTTTTTTAATAATTATATTATCTGCAGCTGTGTGTTTTCAAATTGATCACTTGTAATTCCCAGTGAAATTATTATTACATACACCTCTACCTCGATACAACGCTGTCCTCAGGAGCCAAAAAATCTTACAGCGTTATAGGTGAAACTGCGTTATATTGAAGTTGCTGTGATCCACTGGAGTGCGCAGCCCCGCCCCCCTGGAGCACTGCTTTACCGCGTTATAGCCGAATTCGTGTTATATCGGGTCGCATTATATCGAGATAGCGGTGTACTTTGATTTCTATAGGGCTTTTTCACAGAACACATACCTTCCACAAATCTGAAATATAAAATTTGGCATTATGATGCATCCCTTCTCTCCAAGCACGATATCTGGAGTACCAGACTAGCCAGGGATTTAATTCATAACCAACAGCTTTGAATCCTTCTTTTGCAGCTGCTATCACCTACAAAAAGACAAAGTACTCTTCATTCAGGGCCAGAATAAACTACAGTAGGACACTATTTATGATAGAATTGTGCTTGCAGGAAACATAATAAAATTATACTATTCTCTTAACAGCAGAACCCCCCCCCCCATATGTCTTTATTAGTTGTGTTTATCCACCTTTGGCTGCTTGAATACTAAAGCCCCAATCTGCAAACAAACACTTACACATGTGCTTAACTTGAGTATCATGAGAAGCCCCACTGAAATCAACAGAACTACTCATGGTAGTGAAGTTAAGCACAGGAGTATTTGCTGGATCAGAGCATAAGGCCCCCATACTGCCATGACATATCCATATGCTCAATTTTAAGCATGCAAGTAGTTTCAGTGACTTACCTGTGAATTAAATGTACAATTGGCCAGGGGCATAGCAGTAAACACTATACACGTACATGCACTCACCTAAGATCAAAAATACAAAGTGACCTACCAACACTGAGTGATCTACAACCCATCCTGGACAATGATCCCTCACTTTCACAGACCTTGGGAGGCAGGCCAGTCCTCGCCCACAGACAACCCGCCAACCTTAAGCATATTCTCACCAGCAACCACGCACCGCACCATAACAACTCTAACTCAGGAACCCACCCATGCAACAAACCTCGATGCCAACTCTGCCCACATATCTACACCAGCAACACCATCACAGGACCTAACAAGATCAGCTACAACATCACCGGCTCATTCACCTGCACGTCCACCAATGTTATATATGCCATCATGTGCCAGCAATGCCCCTCTGCTATGTACATTGGCCAAATTGGACAGTCACTATGCAAGAGGATAAATGGACACAAGTCAGATATCAGGAATGGCAATATACAAAAACCTGTAGGAGAACACTTCAACCTCCCTGGCCGCACAATAGCAGATGTAAAGGTAGCCATCTTACAGCAAAAAAACTTCAGGACCAGACTCCAAAGAGAAACTGCTGAGCTCCAGTTCATTTGCAAATTTGACACCATCAGATCAGGATTAAACAAAGACTGTGAATGGCTATCCAAGTACAGAAGCAGTTTCTCCTCCCTTGGTGTTCACACCTCATCTGCTAGCAGAGCACCTCACCCTCTCTGATTGAACTAACCTCGTTATCTCCATACTGATTTATACCTGCCTCTGGAAATTTCCATTACTTGCATCTGAAGAAGTGAGGTTCTTACCCACGAAAGCTTATGCTTCCAATACTTCTGTTAGTCTTAAAGGTGCCACAGGACCCTCTGTTGCTTAGTTTAGACAATACATTTTCAAGATTTAAAATTGCCTGATAATTTAGCAAATGTCTTTCAATGAGTTAAATTCTCCTTGGTGTACTGATATGAGTAATCCCACTGAACTCAGTTGGGCAAACTAATCTAGTAAGGAAAATACGTTTTGTTCCCAAGTCTGCTGTATTTATTGATCTGTAGCATGAATCACTCTCACTCTCCATCTAATTTTTTAAATAAAGAAAATATACTGTAAATCTCACACACAAATAAAGCTGTGCATCCATGCCCTCATTTTTCAGAGGGGGATAATTAAAAACAATATAGATTAATCAGGGGAATATATGGTAACAAAATTAGCAACTTTCAAGATATGCAATATGTAGGATTTAAACTACTTGACAAGTATCTTTAAATAACAAAATGACTCAAATCATGTAAAAATAAAATTAAAAAATTCTGTATTAGAAAAGTAGAAAAGATTAAGAAAGTAAATATTTTGTTCCTGAATAAAACTAGTCAAATATTTAAATAGTTTATTCCACACATTTTGAAGTTTTCCATATCAATTAGTTAATGCAAATTTTTTCCATTATGCACTATAAAAAAAATTCACAAACATATTCAAATAACCTGACACTTTCATATTATTTGAAGAGTACTATTTTCATTATTTGCCCAAAGGTATTCCTGAATAAGTGTCAAACATTCTGAAGCCTGTAATATATACTCTTAAAAACAGTCCAATTGATTTTGTCTGAATTTTTGTGGGACGGGGAGGAAAACTTAACACAGGGTACAGAACCTTCACAAATACCAGGAAAAAGGGTTGCATAATGGAAAATATCTACTACAGTAGCTCACTTCTTTAACACTATTTGATGTACATGAATTTAGAGGAGCCAGAGTTTTATAACTTACAATACGTCCATCGCCGCTACCTATGTCAACCAGAGATCCACTTCTGTACTGTAACATTTTCAAAACATTTTCAATCTGAGTTGAAGTTGCAGGTACAAAAGGAAGGCAAATTTTTCTCAGTGCTGGAGTTATGAATGGAGTGGCAACAGCATACAGTACCACCAATGTCCCACCAACAATGCCAGTGACCAACAATCCCCAATTTATTTTTCTTGAGCTGTCATTATCAAGATTCATATGCGAAATGTCTTGGTTATGGCTTTCTCCTTGAAGTACTTTTGACATCGACAAAGTGTACCTGAAGAAAGGGAAAAACATATGTAACATGACTCCTTTGAAATGCCAAGTACATATCTATTTATTTCTACAGACAAAATCTTGCTGGTAAATAGCGTACAATAATAGAATCACATACTAAACTCTAAGGCTTAAGTTACACTTTATATAAAGCTTACCTCCTTTTGAGCTGGGATGTACTTATAAATCCTATTAACAAAATATTAAATGGCCTTGGAGAAAATCATCAGAAAATAATTGAATTTTAAAATCTGTTATTTCTACCATAATTGACTTTTTTGCTCACTTAGGGCCCTCATGAATGTATTGGAGAGCAAGGAATACATACTAAGAAGCACACAGCCTATTTTCATCCAGAAGACAGGGAAATTACATATTTACCTCCCATTAATGCAAATAGAAGTTAAGTACATAAATCCCACATACACAGAAATGAAAACAACACCTCCACTCAAAAAACCTGTTCTTGTGCATAATGATTGCAAAGTTTTTATTTTAAAGTATCAGTAGCGGTTTTCTCATCAAAATAGAACGGTTTTCAGTCATGAAAGGAGCAGGTTTTCTTCCACTTAGAACAGAGAAAAATAGGTAAAAAATCAAGTAGTTAAGAAAGCACAGTGCACAGCCTGCTAATAAACCTATGGTTCAATGTAAAGTGTACAACACATTCTTCATGTACTGTATTTAATATCCAAAGCTAGCCAAGCATTCTTTGGAATACTATGTTAGCACCCTGGTCCTTAAGGAACAAAGGCCTGGTCCACACTAACCCCCCACTTCGAACTAAGATACGCAACTTCAGCTACATTAATAACGTAGCTGAAGTCGAAGTACCTTAGTTCAAACTTACCGCGGGTCCAGACGCGGCAGGCAGGCTCCCCCGTTGACTCCGCGTACTCCTCTCGCGGAGCAGGAGTACTGGCGTCGACGGCAAGCACTTCCGGGATCGATCCGGGATCGATTTATCGCGTCTAGACAAGACACGATAAATTGATCCCAGAAGATCGATTGCTTACCGCCGCACCCGGAGGTAAGTATAGACGTGCCCACAGATACATTATTTCTGTACAACTGTTTAAGCCTGATTATTTTTCTTTCAACTCATTGTAATATCATATTAACACTCCAGAAACAATATGCCTTTAAAATCTTAGAGGGAATCTGAATATCGTATTTTTTATGTGACATAAATATAGTGCTCATGAAAGGTGTTGACCTGACAACCCTGTCTTATATTTTGCTATATAATATAGCAAAGTCAGTGAAAGTACAGGCTTCCCCACATTGTCCCACTGGTGGGCTTCCATCTTGACCAATTTCTTTGAGAACATCAAAACAGTTCATACGATGTTGCTAAACTTACATACACAGGAGAGCCCCCCCATGTCATAAGACATTGTCCATACAAGTGTGACATTTACCACTCATGATCCAGTACCACATGGTGTTGAGAGCAAGCTGCTTTGTGCCAAAAGAGCTATGGCATGATAGAAGTTTGAGTCCTTTGCAGAATCAGTGGCCAAGACTTTTAAAAATGAGTTCCCAAAGTGCCTAAGCTCTATTTTCAGGCACCTAAGTAACTGTCCTAATTTTCAAAACTGACGAGCAATTAACAGCTATTGTTGACTTAAAATAAGAACAGCCATACTGGGTCAGACCAAAGGTCCATCTAGCCCAGTATCCTGTCTTCCAACAGTGGCCAGTGCCAGGTGACCCAGAGGGACTGAAAAGAACAGGTAATCTTCAAGTGATCCATTCCCTGTCGCTCATTCCCAGCTTCTGGCAAACAGAGGCTAAGGACACCATCCCTGCCCATCCTGGCTAACAGCCATTGATGGACCTATTCTCCATGAATTTATCTAGTTCTTTTTTGAACCCTGTTAAAGTCTTGGCCTTCACAACATCCTCTGGCAAGGAGTTTCACAAGTTGACTGGGCGTTGTGTGAAGAAATACTTCCTTTTGTTTGTTTTAAACTGCTGCCTATTAATTTCATTTGGTAACCCCTCGTTCTTGTGTTATGAGAAGGAGTAAATAGCACTTCCTTATTTACTTTCTCCACACCAGTCATGATTTTACAGACCTCTATCGTATCTCCCCTTAGTCGTCTCTTTTCCAAGCTGAAAAGTCCCAGTCTTCTTAATCTCTCCTCATATGGAAGTCGTTCCATACCCCTAATAATTTTTGTTGCCCTTTTCTGAACCTTTTCCAATATATCTTTTTCGAGATGGGGCGACCATATCTGCACACAGTATTCAGGATGTGGGCATACAATGGATTTATATAGACACAATATCATATTTTCTGTCTTATTATCTATCCCTTTCTTAATGATTCCCAACATTCTGTTAGCTTTTTTGACTGCAGCTGCACATTGAGTGGATGTTTTCAGAGAACTATCCACAATGACTTCAATGGAAATTAATGTAAAGTACTTTGAGATCCTCAGATGGAAGACCCTACAGAAGTGAAAAGCAGCGTTACTACAAACATGTTTTATAAACGTGACTGTAAAAATATTTCTCATGATGACCTGCTCAACAGTCTTCTAGCAATGCAATGAGAGATATCCGAGGACTGCAGAAGGGGCAAATTTAGTACCTATCTTTAAAAAGGGGGGAGGGGGGAAGAGAACTTAGTGATTGACCGACGGGGCAGCCTAACTTTGATACCCGGAAAGATACAGGAACAAATTGCTAGACAATCCATTTGTAAGCACCTAGAACAGTGGTTTTCAAACTGTGGGTTGCGACCCAGTACTGGGTCACGAAAGGTAAGGCACTGGGTCACGGCAGCTCTGGTCAGCACCACCAACCAGGCCGTTAAAAGTCCCGTTGGCGGTGCTGCCCAGCTAAGGCAGGCTAGTGCCTACCTGTTCTGACATCGTGCTGCACCCCGGAAGCAGCCAGCAGCATGTCTGGCTCCTAGCAGGAGGGCCACGGGGCTCCGCACACTGCCCCCGCCCCGAGCACTGGCTCCGCACCCCCACAGGCCGGGAACCAGCCAATGGGAGTTGGGGGAGGCTGGCACAGCACGGTCCGCAGTGCCAGGACAGGCAGGAAGCCTGCTTTAACACCTCTGCTGCGCCGCTGACTGGGAGCCACCCGAAGTAATCCCACGCCTCAATCGACTGCCCCAGCCCAGCCCCCCCAAACCCGGAGCCCCTTCCTGCATACCAAACCCCTCGTCACCAGCTCCACCCCAGAGCCTGCACCCCCAGCCCACAGCCCTGATCCCCTCCCACACCCCAACCCTCTGCCCCAGCCCAGGGCCCTCCCCACACCCTGAACCCCTCGTTCCTGGCCCCACCCTGCAGCCCTCACCCCTGAACCCCATCTTTCTGCCCCAGCCCTGAGCCCCTCCCACACCCCAAACCCTTCAACCTCAGCTCTGTTGGGTCACGGGCATCAACAATTTTCTTCAACTGGGCCAAACCAGCCTAATTTTTTTCTTTGACTGGGTTACTGGCCTAGTGGATGGATGGGGGGGGGGGTGGAGAACAGTAGGTATGATGTATCTTGATTTTAGAAAAGCTTTAGGCAGTCTCATGAGACACTCATGAGCAAACTGAAGAAATACAGTCTAGATGAAATTATGAAGTAGGTATGCAACTGACTGAAAAATAATACTGAGTTATCAATGCACAGATACAAAATGAGGAATAACTAGCTAGACAGAAGTACTGCTGAAAAGAATCTGTGATTTATAGTGGATAACAAATGAGAGTCAACAATGTGATGCAGATGCAAAAAAGGCTAATATTTTGGAGTGTATTAACAGGAGTGTTTTAGGGGAGGGATAGCTCAGTGGTTTGAGCATTGGCCTGCTAAACCCAGGGTTGTGAGTTCAATCCTTGAGGGGGCCACTTAGGGATCTGGGGCAAAATCAGTACTTGGTCCTGCTAGTGAAGGCAGGGGGCTGGACTCTATGACCTTTCAGTTCTAGGAGATAGGATATCTTCATTCATTTAATTTTAATTTAAGACCTGGGAAGTAATTGTCACACTGTATTTAGCACTGGCGAGGCCTCATCTGAAGTATTCTATCCAGTTCTGGGCACCACACTTTAGAATACATGTGGATAAATTGGAGAGAGTCCAAAGGAGAGAAACAAAAATAATAAAAGGTTCCAAAAACCTGACCTATAAGGAAAGGTTAAAAAAACAGGCATGTAAAGTCTTAAGAAAAGACGACGGGGGACGGGGGGGTAGAGAATCTGATAACAGTCATCAAATATGTTAAAGGCTATCATAAAGAGGATGGTGATTAATTTTTCTCAAAGTCCACCAAGGATCAGACAAGAGGAAATGGGCTTAATCTGCAAGAAGACAGATTTAGGTTAGATACATCTCTACCCCGATACAACGCTGTCCTCGGGAGCCAAAAAGTCTTACCGCGTTATAGGTGAAACCGTGTTATATCAAACTTGTTTTGATCCGCCGGAGTGCACAGCCCCGCCCCCCCCGTAGCGCTGCTTTACCGCATTATATCCGAATTCGTGTTATATCGGGTCGCGTTATATCGGGGTAGAGGTGTATTAGGAAAAACTTTTTAACTATAAGGGTAGTTAAGTTCTGGAATAGGCTTTCAAGGAATGTTATGGAATTCCCATTAGTGGAGGTTTTTAAGAAGAGGTGAGACAAACACCTACGAGGGACGGTCTAGGTCAGTGGTTCTCAAACTTTTTTTTCCACAGTCCACTTGAAAATTGCCGAGGATCTTGGCAGACCACTTAATGATCTTTCCAAATGTTGTTTGTATTGTTAGCTAATTATTGTAAAGCGCTTTCGATAAACGCACTATATAAAAAAACCTTAATAATAATGTTTTTTGTTCTACAAATAAAAGCACACAACTCATCTTTTAATATCAGTAGTCTTACCTTTCTAATGCGATGGATATGCCCTCTCTACCCTGCCATGGCAGCACCCGAGCTGGGGCTGGGAAGGAAGGGGGCGGGGGGGTCTCTCCCTCTCTGCCCCACCACAACAGCCCCCAAGCTGGGAAGGAGGCGGGTCACTCACCCACAACAGCCACAGAGCTGAGGCTGGGAAGGAGGGCCATCTCTCCCTGGCAGCCACAACCCTGGAGCTGGGGAAAGTCACCTCTTTCTCTGGCCGCCACAGCCCTGCACATCCCAAATTCCCACCACCCCTTTTCTCACCCTACTGTCCCCTCCCACCTACCCCCATTCCCCCCCAAGGCCACCACCTCAGCTTAAATGTGCATCTTTCTCCAGGGTCCAGGCACCTAATTAGTGGAGCCACGCCTGCGCGGCTCCACTAATTAGGTGGGTGGCCCTTCATTTTCTTGTGTGCAGCTGCCAAGGTGCGCACCTTAGAGGGAACTGTCCACAGACCACTTGAATCGAGCTCATGGACCACTGGTGGTCCATGGACCACAGTTTGAGAACCTCTGGTCTAGGTTTACTTGGTCCTGCCTCAGTGTAGGTAGCTGGACTTAATGACCTCTCAAGGTCCCTTCTAGCCCTACATTTCTATGATTCTATAATTTAAAACTACAGTAGAACCTCAGAGTAACCAAGACCAGAGTTTCGAACTGACCACTCAACCACATCCCTCATTTGGAACTGGGAGCACAAAATCAGGCAGTAGCAGAGACAAAACTTAAAAAGAAAAGAGTAAATACAGTACAGTATTGTATTAAACTACTAACAACAACAAAAAGAAAAGAAAAAGCAGCATTTTTCTTCTGCATAGTAAAGTTTCAAAGCTGTATTAAGTCAATGTTCAGTTGGAAACTTTTGAAAGACCTACCATAATGTTTTGTTCAGAGTTACGAACAACCTCCATTCCCAAGGTGTTCATAACTCGGAGGTTCTAGTGTATTTTTAGAGAGAAATTATGTGTGGATAATCATTTTGCAGGATTCAAGGTTTTAAAAAATATGCAAAGACAGTTATTTAAAGCTATAGATCTCAATACTAAAACCCCAACCAATTCAAAATCCTATCGCAAACAAAAGTATGACATAATCCCACAAATACAAATGAGCTGGCTTTGCCCAAGTTTAGAACCCTACCTATACCTAACAAAGCATATATTAAAGATATGGAGGCTCAAGTGATCTTCAGTAGGATACTACCTGTCCCTAGAGGAGAAGAGAGAAGGCAAGACAATTATGATTAGGGCCCTACCAAATCCATGGCCATTTTGGTCAATTTCATGGCCAGAGGATTTAAAATTGGTCAAATTCACCATTTCAGATGTTTACATCTGAAATTTCACCTTGTTGTAACTGCGGGGGTCCCCTCCCAGAAGGGGGATCATGGGGAGTGTCCCAAAGCTGTTGTGGGGGGGGGGTCACAGGATTGACACCGTCACTTCTGTGCTGCCTTCAGAGATGGGCTCTGAAGGCAGCAGCTGCAGTTTTCTGCAGCTGGAGGAGGCTCCAGAGTTGGAAGTGGGTCCCATCTCCCCAATGCTGCAGGGAGCGCCCCAGCCAGGGGCTCCTAGCTGCTAGTCACAGCTAGTGGCGGACTAAAACAGAGGCTCCAGGCAGTACCCCGAGCCCTGGCAAGAGCCGCACGGGGGAGGGCAGCCACAGGGGGTGGGTGGAAGCCCCAAACACAGGTGCCCCGAACCCCGATAGGAGCCGTGTACCACACTCACTTCTGTGCTGTCTGTGGAGGTGGGTCTGATCTCCCCCCATAACAGCCATGCAGGGGAAGGATTTTGGGGAGATCAGATTTCACGGGGTAAGACTTTTTTCACAGTCCGTAACACGTTTTTCATGGCCATGAAATTGGTAGGGCCCTAATTATGATGATCAACAGATGGCTCTGGCAACGGTGCTATAAGGAGGGGTTTTAGATGTCTGGACATTCACTGGCCGATGAGTGTTCTCATGGGATGGACTCCACCTAAGTAGGGAAGGAAATAGACTTCTGAGATAGAGGGAAGTAATTAGGGAAGTGGACTGGACGGAAGAACTCAAGGATCTGAATGTGTACGAGGCTTGGAATTACTTTAAGTCAAACATGTTTTTACAAAATGGTAGATTGTGCCAGACCAACCTGATTTCTTTCTTTAAAAAGATAACTGATTTTTTAAACAAAGGAAATGCAGTAGATCTAATCTACCTGGATTTTAGTAAAGCATTTGATACGGTTCCACATGGAAAATTATTAAACTGGAGAAGATGGAGATTAATATGAGAACTGAAAGGTGGGTAAGGAACTGGTTAAAGGGAAGACTACAACAGATCATATTAAAAGGGGAACTGTAAGGCTGGAGAGAGGTTACCAGAGGAGTTCCTCAGGGATCAGTCATGGGACAAATCTTATTTAACCTTTTCATTAATGACCCTGGCACAAAAAGTGAGTGTGCCCTAATAAAATCTGCAGATGACACAAGGTTGGAAGTAATGCCAGCAGTCCATTCTGGCCTTAAAATCTGAGTCTATTAGCACTGGTTATAAGAGATGGAAGACTCCGTTACCACTGCAACAACATAGAAGACTGGCTATCAACCACTATTAACTAGCTACTTGCAACTTTCTTTACTTCACCTGAAGTAAAGTATACTGGCCACTATAATTTTAAAAAGTGACTTTTAGGTTTTCAGACTTTAAATAATCAATTTTAATCTTGTTTTACATTTGTACTTTTATATGTTCCTAAAGAAAGGTTGATTTGCACTGAAACATAGATTCATAGAAATGTAGGGCTGAAAGGGACCTTGAGAGATCATTCATCCCAGCCCCCTGCGCTTAGGTAGTAAACCTAGAACATCCCTCAGAGGTGTTTGTCCCACCACTCCTTCAAAACCTCCACTAAGGGGGATTCCACAACCACGCTTCAAAGCCTATTCCAAAGCCTAACTACCCATTGATATTCTATGATTCTATGATTCTATATAGTTAGAAAGCTTTTCCTAAATATCTACCCTGAATCTCTCTTGCTGCATGTTAAGCCCATAAATTTTTGTCCTTTCAGTGGACATGCAGAATTGATCACCATCCTCTTTATACAGGCCTGAAATTGGATCACTGTTATACCAGGTCCGCCCTCAGTCTTCTTTTCTCAAGACTAAACAACCCCAATTTTTTAAAATCTTTCCTCAGAGGTCAGGTTTTTAGAACTTTTTATTATTTTTGTTGCTCTCCTCTGTACTCTATCCAATTTATCCACATCTGTCCTAAACAGTGGCACCCAGAATTGGACAAAGTACTCCAGCTCAGGCCTCACCAGTACCAAGCAGAGCAAAATAATTATCTTCTAATGTTTGATATATGACACTCCTGTTAATACGCTCCAGAATATTAGACTTTTTGGCAACTGCATCGCACTGCTGACTCATTCAATTTGTGATACACGATAACTTCCAGATCCTTTTCAACAGTACTACCACCTAGTTAGTTATTCTCCATTTTGTAGTTGTTAATTTGACTTTTTCTTCCTAGTGTAGTACTTTGCACTTGTCTTTATTTAAGTTTATTTTGTTAATTTCAGACCAATTCTCTAATTCAGGGGTGGGCAAACTGCAGCCCTCGCGCCGCACCAGCAGCTCGGCCCTGCTCCAGTGATCCAGCTGGGGCGCTGGGTCAGGGGCTGCACCACAAGGCCAGGACAAGTAATTGGCTAAAACTGCAGCAAAGGTACATGCTACACATCAGAAGAAAAAGAACTTCCTGTCAGGGTGGTTAAGCACTGCCACAAATTGCCTAGGGAGGTTATGGAATCTGTCACTGGAGGATTTGAAGAGCAGGTTAGACAAGCACGTGTCAGGGTCAATCTCTAGAGAATACCTGATCCTGCCTCAGTGCAGGGGGCAGGACTGGACGATCTACCAAGGTCCCTTCCACTCCTGCATCTCTCTGGCAGCAACTTCCACTCTTAGGACTTCAATAGACGTAATAAAGGAAAAAACCAGCAGCCGGAGCCGGCTTCCCCCAGCGCGTCGCTTCAGCAGCTGGCGGGCAGGTCCCTAGTCAACGCGCTGGGGCGGCTCCACCATTAGCCAAGCCGGAGCAGACAGGCCCTGCCCCCTGGAGGGTGGGGGTCGCACGGACCCGGTCCCGCACGGAGGGGCCCTCTCCGCTCACCGAGGGGCCGATATCGCGAGACTCGGAGGAGCAGGCGGGAACTCCGACCGACGCAGGCGCAGCGGAGTGGACGATACCACCTGAAACGCGGGGGGGCCTCACCTGTGGCAGGCTGTATAGCACTGTAGAGTAACGTACCCTGCCTCGCAGCGCGCATTTGCGCCGTCTTTTTTTGCTGTCACTATAGTGCGGTGGACCCTGCGAATATGATGTGTGTCGGAGTTCCGCTTAGTGGTCTCTCCCACTCTGACTTGCGCCCTTCTTTCCGTCAGACGCTTCCAGAAGGGCTCAGTGGGGGCGCCACATTGGTCCCAGCTAAGAAATCCTTCCGGTAGTAACCCACTGCGCATGCGCGGCGCAGAATCTCCCGCCCGTTACGTTGCGCTGGGCGTGGTGGGCAGCAGCCGCGGCTCGTGCTCCGTCGGTTAGTGTCAGAGCGGCTCTGGTGCGGCAGGACCATGTCGGCGATGGGGACTCTCGCGTTCGATGAGTACGGGCGGCCCTTCCTGATCCTCAAGGACCAGGATCGCAAGAGCCGCCTCATGGGGCTGGAGGCGCTCAAGGTATTTGCGCATGCGCCACCGGGGAACCGCCGGTTGCTAGCCCTGGATCCATGTGCTTTCCCCCTCCCCCACTCCGGGATCAGAGCCCCCCGTGGTTGGTCGCTAATCCCCTTCCCCCTGTAGGGTCTGGAGCCGCTGGACCTTTGTGTGTCTCTCTCCCCTCCCCCCCCCGGGCGCCGGGCCGGGCCGGGAAAAGCCGTGACCGGTGCGCGGAGCTCGTAGCCCCGCCCCCATCGGGCCGCCCGGCCGCGGCCCGAGCGAAGGCTTTGATGACGCGCACTAGGCCGCCCAGAGCTGCCGCCTCGTGCGGATGGAGCGGGGCGGCTGGATCCGCCGGGCGCCTTGTTAAACGCCAGGGCCGGGCCCTGTGGTCGCTCAGTCACTAAACTAACGTTAAGCTGCGGCTTCCCCTTGAATCTCGCACACACTGAACCAGGCTCTTCTCCCCAGTGCAAACGTGCGTTAGTCTCTCCTGGCTTAACCCCCGCCCCGGTTCTGGACCCATCCTATAACCAACCGCATTGAGCACATTGTTTACAGCCCGTTTCCTCCAGTCCGCGTTTCTCTGCCTTGCACTCAACTGAAACCACTCAAAGTCTCTAATGATCTCAAAGCTCACAACCTGGATGTTATCCTCATTCTCTTTGACCTGCCAGCTGCTTTTGATACAGTTAACCACACTCCTCCTCTTGAAACGTTGTTCTCCCTTGGCTTCCTTCTCTTGGTTTTTCTCCTACCTCTCTAACTGCTCCTTCAGCATGTCCTTTGGAGGATGCTCTTCACCCCCCTTCCCCTTTCAGCTTTGGGGGGGAGGGTTCCACAGGGCACTGTACCTTTCTCTTTTCCCTTTACACCTTATCTCTGGGTAATCCATTTCATACACACATACAAATAAAATGACTACATGTATGTTGACAACTCATGCCCTGCAGCAAACCTGTCTCTTTCTGTCCAACCTAAAATCTTGGCCTCTCTCTTTGACATTTCATGGACATCTAGCTGTCAGCTCCAGGTGAATATGGCTAAAACAAAGCTCCTTATCTGCTCTCCCTGCTACTTCCTTTCTCAATCACTGTGGACAACACCACCATCCTGCCTGTCACGCCCTGAAACTGGGCATTGTCTTTGACTTGGATCTCTGTATTGGTCTTCATATCCAGGTGGTGTGTGAATCTTGCCAGTTCTTTGTGGCTAACATGGCTAAGATATGGCCTATCTACTCCATCCACACAACTAAAATTCTTGTCCAGGCTCTTGTCATCTTGCATCTAGATTACTGCAACATTCTTTTCTCTGATTTGACAGATGCAGTTGTGCTCTGTTCATATCCATTCAGAATGCTGTTGCAAAAATCATTTTTCTAACCTGTTTCTTTGACCATGTCAGTCCTCTCTTTGCTTCCCTCCACTGGTTCCCCCTTCTCAGTCACTTCAAACATAAGCTACTTGTCTTAATTTTCAAGGTGTTTCATGGTCATGCTACCTATTATCTGTCATAGGCTATTGAGCTGTTCATGTTCAACTCCAAACAGCCCATGATGTCAGTCTCCATTGCCCACTTGTTACATTTTTCGAAGTACCTTTGTCCTTTCTCTCATGCTGCCTCTCATATTTGGGAAGCACTCCTCATAAACGTTCTCAAAGCTACCTCATTATCCTGCTGATCCTTCTTCCTAAGGGCCTGTCTACATGGATGTGGATTATGGGGGTGTGAATTGCAGTGCACTATAGCGTTGCATTTAACTACCTAGTGTAAACCCTGCTAGCGTAAACTAAAAAGTACCCAGTTCCCATCAGCGTAGTCCTGGAAACATGAATTAGGGTTTACATAGTGCAGTTACAGTACAACACTTCGGGGCATGCGACTCATATGCCCGATAGTCCAAACTTCAAGGCTATATAGACAAGACCTAACATTTTGTTTTATCATGTTGCCTACGAAATACTGGGCAGCGGGTGTGCCGAGACCATGTATCGTCTCCTTGTTTACTTGTACTCCATTGTCTGTCTGCCTATATCCATCTGTTGGCTCTTGTCTCGTACTTAGTGTACATCTACGCTTAAAATGCTACAGCAGCACAGCTGCCATGCTACAGCGGCACCTCTGTTGCTCTTCAGCCCAGACACAGTGTACAGTGTCGAGAAGGGTTGTCCCATCACTGTAATTAATCTACTTCCTTGAGAAGTGGTAGCTAGGTTAACGGAGGAATTCTTCCATCGACCTATTACTGTCTACACTAAGGGGTAGGTCGGCATAATTGCGTCTCTCGGGTGAAGTTTTCAGTGTAGACCAGTCCTTAGGTTATAAATGATTGGGAGGGACCATATTTTTTTGTTCCATGTTTGTACAGTATATAGCACAATGGGGTCCTGGTCCATTATTAGGGCTCCTAAGCGCTTTGGTAACACAGATAATAAATGTGATACATTTCAATCATTCACCTGTTGCATCACTGAAGGAGACGAAAAGTATAATTTTAAAAATCCAGGATTTTTGGTGTTTTGCGCCTGCAGAGGTGGGATGCTCTTGTTGTATCCTAGTGGATAATCTGAGCAGTTTGACTATACTAGCAATGCAATGGTCTATTGAAAGGCCAACGGATTTTTAAAGAATGATTGAATGTTAACAATCCTTTATCTGGCGAAAGTCCTTCCCAGATCATCACTTTTGTATGAGAGAGTTAGAGTTCACAGGCAAAGGTCCAGCCCACTAGTCAGATGCCTTTAATGCATCTGCTAGCGGGAGGGCAAAAGGAAAAGTTTGGGTATATCAGTTATATATCAAAAAGAACAGGAGTACTTGTGGCACCTTAGAGACTAACACATTTATATATCAACACACATTTATATAACAGTTATATATCAACACACACAATTTACCTGATCTGGGTATAATTATAATATAAATTTTCACATAGTTTAACTTCTGCTTGAAATAGAGCAAAATCATCTGCAGCAGTTGTTTTGTATCTCACCTCCACTTAATGCTGTATTTAAAAAAAAAAAGGGGGGGGGGCTACTATTCCTTTTTCATTGCCAGTGCAAGTTTTATTCATATTTGCACCGATGGAAAACATTGGAGATAGGAATTGCTACTGGCTAAGCGATGGCCCTGAAAATACTGACACCTAATTTTCTCTGACACATAAGTGTACCTGCAAACAACTAGAATCAAAGGACTTTCTTTTTCACTATTTATTCGCATAGCGTTACTAACAAAGTATTGTATTTTTAAGGATGTGTCAAAATGATTGAATTTATGTTTGCATTTTTGTTTCATAGTCTCATATAATGGCAGCAAAGGCTGTGGCAAATACACTGAGAACATCACTGGGGCCCAATGGTAAGTATGAGAATTTAAGTTTAAACACTTTTTTTTTTTTTTTTTTGGTAAGGTTTCTTTGATTATTTATAACTTGTATACTTTTTGAACACTTGTTTTAGGTCTTGATAAAATGATGGTGGACAAGGATGGTGAGGTGACTGTCACGAATGATGGGGCCACCATTCTGAGTATGATGGATGTGGATCATCAAATAGCTAAACTTATGGTAGAGTTGTCTAAATCGCAGGATGATGAGATTGGGGATGGAACTACAGGAGTTGTTGGTAAGAGACATTTCAAACCTGTCACCTTTGAAATCAGGTTATTTAAAGAGTTGGCCCTACATAAACAATTAGCATCTCAAACAAACCTAGTAGAGTAGCTAGCATTTTAATTCTCTTGCAGCTCCTGTATTGCGGGCTCTCTATCAGAAGGATGGGGGAAGGGGGCTGTTTGTTTTTGTTTTTAAAAGGGTAGGCTAAATTTGCAGGCAGTATTGACACTTCATCCCTTGTATTAAATGCATCCATGTATTTATTTTTCCACATATCTTAAATAGTTTTCTTCCAATTCCATCTTCACTCCTTAAGAAAAAGCAATAATTGGGTAGTTTCCTCACTAAGATTGGTCAACAGCTGTTGATGAATTTTAGAAACTTGTGTCTGGCATAGTGTAAGCCTGCAAGGGCAAGTCTGTTACACACACTTTCTGTGCTCTAACAACGTATTGCAAGATTAAAATAACTTAGTAAATTGATGGAGGAAAGTAAATTCTTGTTTTTTTTGTTTTGTAGTTCTGGCTGGTGCATTATTGGAACAGGCTGAGCAGTTGTTAGATCGCGGTATTCACCCTATGAGAATAGCAGATGGTTATGAGCAGGCTGCACGCATTGCCATTGAGAATCTAGACAAAATCAGTGACAGTTTTCCAGTTGATCCACAGAACAGTGAACCTCTCATCCAGACTGCAAAGACAACTCTGGGTTCTAAAGTGTAAGTTTATACTGGGAAAACCTAACTAATGAAGTTTCATACTTGAAAGCATTTTTGGGAAAAATCATTGACAGTTGTTTGGCATTTTTAGCTGGAATATAAAATTCGTTACATTCCTCAATGAAATTTTTCCTTAAAGTTAAACGTCACTTTTTATTTTTATTTGGGCATAAGCTTTTTACCCACGAAAGCTTATGCCCAAATAAATCTGTTAGTCTTTAAGGTGCCACCGGACTCCTTCGTTGTTTTTGTGGATACAGACTAACATGGCTACCCCCTGATACTTTTTATTTTTATTACCAGTTAATTTCTCTACTGTAACTCCCTGATGCGGCAAGTTTAGAAGGAGGCATTAGTAAGCCATTCTCTTTACACGTTTGATGAGATGTGACAAGCAGCTGCAATAGAAATTCCTCTATGCTATCTGTCTAATTCCTTTTTTTTCCACTTCCATGCTTCCTAACTTCCCTTTATATATTTCTGTGTGGTTGTTTCTCCTCACTTTTAAAAGATGATAGTTTGCTTAAAGAAAAGATGACACTAGGTGGATTTCACATGTGACAAATAGCTAATATTATTATAACCTTATCTGCTACCTTTACTTCTATTAAGAGTAGTGACAGAGCAGATTATTTTTTTGGCTATAGTAAAATGGTATTTAGATAGTTAATTTGATACTCATCATGGGTTAATTAATGAAATGTGGCTCTTTAATTTGCCGGGTTAGTGATTTGATGGCATAATATGGTTTTCTGCTGACAAATGCGGATCAGCCCAAAGTGGTGCATGCATTTTAGGTGAGAGTCTCACAGTCTTTTCAGGTTTGCCGCCCCTTCTTTGAAGTCAAAGGTTTTCACTACCTCCTTTCATTTAATTTATATCAGTGATGATGATGATAAGCCTATATAATTTGTGTGTATGTTGAGAGGCCGACAAAGAATATTTAACCTTGAAAGGTAATGGAGAGAGGAGAGAGATACACCTCTACCTCGATATAATGCTGTCCTCGGGAGCCAAAAAATCTTACCGCGTTATAGGTGAAACCGCGTTATATCGAACTTGCTTTGATCCACCGGAGTGCGCAGCCCCGCCCGCCCGGAGCACTGCTTTACCGCGTTATATCCGAATTCGTGTTATATCGGGTCATGTTATTTCGAGGTAGAGGTGTATGTCCTTTGCTTTAGACTGTTAATAAATGTTCGTGACCCCTCGATTGATGTTCATGACCCACTAGTTAAGAAACACAGTATAGGGTAACCCAGCATGATGCATAAACAAGTATTCAACAAATCAATTGACCATTGACTGTTCTCAGTTCCCTTCTCAGGTGTGAGTTATCTTTTTGTGCTGGGCTGCCAGACGCTTTAAAACAAAAGTTATTTTTCCTTCCTTGGTATCCTGCTGTTAATTGATTCATCTCGTTAGACTGACCTCACACTTAGTAAAGCAACCCCCATCCTTTCATGTATTTATATCTCCTCCTGTATTTTTCACTTCGTGCATCTGATGAAGTGGGTTTTGGCCCACGAAAGCTTATGCCCAAATAAATTTGTTAGTCTCTAAGGTGCCACAAGGACTCCTTGTTGTTGGTTGTTTTTTTTAAACAAAAGTAATCCTGTTGTTCCTTCCTGTCGCTATTGGAACAAACGAAAAGCTACTAGTGATGCTTGACTTAACTGTAAATCTGATCAACACTATTTTGTTTGTTCTTAATGTAGGGCAGTTAAATCTGTGACATTTGCTGCTTGTCTTACATTAACGAACATTTCAGGTCTCTCAGTATATTGTTCAAGTTAGTGTCGGAGCTGGAGACAACTCTCCCCTTCCCCGTCTTTGGGGCATATTAAAGTGGATATATCAAACCATTTTGCTTTAATCTTAAAGAATTTAATCTAGAGTTTAACTTGTTCTGTGCAGCCAAAAATCTACATATGGTCCAGCACCAGTTGTCTATACCATGCTCCAATATATCAAGTATATGTAATCACATTAAAAGAGGTCCTTTCCCAGATGTACCTTGCGTGTTGTTTGGCATGCACCCTATAGGTCCCTTATTGGTTATAACTCACTTGTAATCAGTTAAGTGTGAGAGCCCCAAATCTGCCTCTTGGTAAGATATTCAAGAAGAGGTGTCCATCTCCACTTCACAGGCAGACAAATTCAATTCTTTATCTCCTGTTTTGTAGTTTAACTACCTTTTTCTCCTCTTCTCTTCTCTCATCTTCCTACAATGAACAAACATTCAAAGCTCAAATAACGTTTGTTCTCTATTAGGACAATTGTTCTCTTGGGGAGGGGGGACGTTTTGAACAATCGTAACTAACTTCATTACATTTTGCTTAAATTTAGAATTAATCGTTGCAACAGACAAATGGCAGAAATTGCTGTAAATGCTGTACTGACAGTGGCTGATATGGAACGCAAAGATGTTGATTTTGAGCTAATCAAAGTACAAGGCAAAGTGGGAGGGAGACTGGAAGATACCCAGTTGGTTAAAGGAGTGATTGTGGATAAAGATTTCAGCCATCCACAGATGCCTAAAGTGAGTCAGTCTTTTTTGGTAGTTATTTAAACCATCAAGGAACTTTTCTTTGCTCCTCTAACTGCTGTATCTGAACACCTCTCATGTACTCTAAAATAGAAGTTTCTCTTTCCTAGCTTGTAGAAAAAATAGCTTTATTAGTATGGGGTGGGGGAGGGGAGAGAGTGCAGATATTATTGAGGTCAAAATAATTAATCTTAATCTTTATTTTAACATGTAGGAAGTTAAAGATGCTAAAATTGCAATTCTCACTTGTCCATTTGAGCCACCTAAGCCTAAAACCAAGCACAAGCTTGATGTAACATCCGTGGAAGATTACAAGGCACTGCAGAAATATGAAAAGGAGAAATTTGAAGAGATGGTGAAACAGGTTAGAGTTTATAAACGTATTTATCCCTGATGACTTTTCCCCAGTGTATACAAGAGTGAAATATTTTGCTTTTCATGTATGATTTGACTAGTAGTCTCATAAGAAGCAGACCTGCTTGCATACATATACTTTTAAAAAATTACAACTGAATTACAAACTAACAACAACAAAATAGCTGTAATTAATTAATTAACAGACAGCAGTTTGAAATTCAGTTCCATGGTTAGTGTCTTTACGGGTCATCCTTTGTATCCACTGTATTTTGGTACTTGTGAGTTCAAATTAAATCCATTGTATTGCTTTTAACTTAGCAACATATATTGGAATTGCTTTCAGATTAAAGACACTGGTGCAAACCTAGCTATTTGCCAGTGGGGTTTTGATGACGAGGCAAATCACTTATTGCTTCAGAATGAGCTGCCTGCTGTTCGTTGGGTTGGTGGACCTGAAATAGAAGTAAGTAAACTTCTCTCCGAATTCATTTTGCATCTGCCTTGACTGGCTGACAAAGGATTTAACACATGATCACTTCAGAAGCTCTGGCTTTCAGGAGGAGAGCAGCACAACTAATATACATGAGTCTAAATGACTGATTGTAAAATAGCACTTGTGAGAAGGGCCCACTGTCAATGGGGCCATGATCCACAATTTAATCCTCTAGACACTACCCCAGTACAAATAATAACTGATGGATGGGAGTTAAAATTGAGCTTAAAAAGTGTGATGGGTAATAGGTGACCTAAGACTCCATGTTTAAAATTTCATTCCTTGCTCTGCAGAAGCAACTCATTCCCTGAAATACTCTGAAGGAGGGGAAGCATCCATTTCAGAGTCTAGTCCATAAGCTGGCCTTCTTCCACTTACGTCCCACAATTAAAAAAACCCCTTGAGAAAAAATTCTTTTCAAAATGACTTTGTTTTTTTACTTGTAGTTGATTGCCATTGCAACCGGAGGGCGCATCGTTCCTCGTTTCTGCGAACTCACGTCTGAGAAACTAGGCTTTGCTGGCATTGTCAGGGAGATCTCATTTGGAACAACAAAGGATAAAATGCTTGTTATTGAGCAATGTCAGAATTCCAGAGCTGTTACCATCTTCATTAGAGGAGGAAATAAGATGGTGAGATGCTCAATATGTAAATGAGAGTTTGAACATGTCTTCTGCTAATTCCTATCAGCTTGCAAAATCAGCAGGTGCATCCAAAAGAAGCCTCAGTGTTGTACTGTCTTATCTGAAGTGTGGCTAGACGGAGTGAACAAGTCAGTAGTCCACTTGACTGGGACAGTCAACAGTGATTGCTTGTTAAGAGTGGCAACTCGCTGTGCAAAGTACCACTAGATTCACGTTGTTTGGTGTTGAGTAAAACTGATGATCCTTTGTTATCATGCACTATGAGTAACTTTACTCTTGTGCCTAGTGCCTTTTACTTTTAATGGACTGCTCGTGCGAATAAAATTATATTGAATAATTTGGAGGATCAGGCACTTATTCATTTTCACATAGCAGTAGATATCTAATCTTCATCTGTAAGTCTTGGCTTGACCTTTAAATAAGAATGGTGTCTCCTGTACACAGAAACCAAATTTCAGAACTTTGCATTAAATCGATTGGTGTCTAGTGTGTTGCGCTTATCCTGCTGGTACTTAAGTCCTATTTGGAGCCAAAAGCATAAGAAAGAGGGGAAAACTGAGAGGGTACAAATAGAGTTAAAATAGATTTGTAATCTTTTTTTAAAAAAAAACTGCTTTTGAGGTTTGATTAGCTTTTTAAAAAAAAATAAAACGCATCAAGATATTAAATGGACTTTCTGAAGTATGAACCATAAATATTTTAGTGTAAAAACCCTTGTTTTTCTCTTGGAAATACCCCAGGCTTGAAAAGCGATTTGGTCATCCAAGTGAAGGGTTGAAAATCTTTTAAAATGTGCATGTGTAATTTCTAAGTATTGAAAAGCTGATTATTTCAAAATGTAAAGTTTCATGAAAACAGTGAATTAAAAAAATCTAGGTCATTACAACAATAGATTTCTATTCAGATATTACTTGGCTGTGTGGAGTTTCTGATTCTGTATTAGGAAACCTTGACGAAGTAAGATTTTCGGGACTCTCCTAACTTTACATACTGTAACATAACTTGTTATATTCTAAAATTCAAGATTATCGAAGAAGCAAAACGATCTCTTCATGATGCGTTGTGTGTAATCCGGAACCTGGTTCGTGATAACCGCATTGTGTATGGAGGAGGTGCTGCTGAGATCTCTTGTGCTTTGGCAGTTAGTGAAACAGCAGATAAGGTAACAAAAAACAAAAAAAAACCTTTTTTATCATTCTCCTGCTCAAGGAAAACATCAGCCTTTAGTATCTGTAACTGCAAAACAAGTGTATGTTAAGGAATTTCATGCTTTCACTTATGCACAGTGTCATGTAGTTTTACACATAGTTGCTGCTGCTGCTTCACCATAAAAAAGCAAAGCAGAAGAAGAAAAGCTGTTGTGCTTTAAAAAAAAAAAAAAGCTGTTGTGCTTTAGTAAACTACTTTGTGGTTACTGATTAAATGATAGCGTGAAATTTTCTATTGGGTTGCTAGCTGTCTTTCCAGACTGATGTACTGTTATCAGTGATGTTCCTTTTGCAATACTTATATTGTCTTTTGACAGATGAAATAGGACAACTTAAATTTATCAAAGTCATGTCTGAATTCAAGTACAGATGTTAGGGTTTGGTTTTAAAATGTTGTAACCTTAGCCAGGTCAAAATGTGCAGCTCCTGGAATGGAGACTATGGTTGTAGATGGGGCATTCAGTGGCACATGACTCCATCCCCTACCCCTAGACCCTCATTTCAATATGATAATAAGATTGCAGTCGCTCCCACCATTCATGCCAGGACTTTTACTGCACTGTAGCAGGGTCCATGTGATGAGTTACTGAGCGGCCAGCTGATGCATTGTAGAGTCACACAGTGAAATGGCTTGCCATGTAAACAAGCCATTTGTTCTTAAGACTGATGTAGGATGTATTATGCATATAAGTATGTTGGCACCACATATAAACATCCTGTTGGGTAGGATGGGCCATGTTTTTAAGGAACACTTGCATCTATAGTATATGGATAAATTCTTTCACTGTTTCAATGTGGTAACTTGGTTTTGCCAACAGTCTAATATAAGCCTGTACTCTCCTAGTGCCCCTCTTTGGAACAGTATGCTATGAGGGCTTTTGCTGATGCCCTAGAAGTCATTCCCATGGCGCTTTCTGAAAACAGTGGAATGAATCCCATACAGACTATGACTGAAGTACGAGCTAGACAAGTGAAAGAAAACAATCCTGCTCTTGGGATCGATTGTTTGCGCAAAGGAACAAATGGTAAGAAATCCTTAATACGTTGTGAATATTGTGGAGAGGAGCTAAATGGAAGGCATTTCTCAACAAATGTAAAAAGCTGTAATAGACTTACCGTGAGTACTACAAAGGCTTCGGAAAATGTCCTATGAAGAATTTAACTTTTTTGGGTTACTGTATATAATGAAGTTCTTGTTTGTGGCTACTTATTGGACTAATGTGGCTCCTCAATTTTCTGGTAATTTTTGTAATGGGTTAAAACACCTGTTGTATCTAATAGTAAACTATGGTTCTAACTTTTTCTTCATTCTTTTCTCTTAAAACACTTGTGTAGAAATTATTGTCCTCTCTCTAAGAAAATAGTGTTATTTATCCCATCAAATGTCCAGTTCAGGTTACTAGAACAGAGTTAAGAGTTTTTATAATCTGAACACTGGATCCCAGAATTGTTTTGGTACAGAACATTATAAGAGTAGTGATTTTTTTTCAGAACAGTATTATAGTTTACAACTTTTTTTTTAAATGGTGTTGTGAAAAAAAAATCAATCCTATTTTATACTAATACCAAGGCTAGGTCTGTGCTACGAGCTAGGGACGGGATTCCCCTGCTCGTGTACATGTGCTTGTGGCAGCTTGATGAGAGCTAGCAGTAGCATAAATAGCAGTGTAGCTTAGGCAGCTGCATGGAGACACAATCGAGCTATTCGGAGTACAAAGCCGCCTGAAACTGGTACATATGTACCATCCTAGCTCCACCACGCCTCCGTTGCCACTACCTATGTGACTGCATCTTCACTACAACATTGTTTCACCCATGCTGTTTTCCTACTTAAGACGTTTTTCAGAGAAGAAAGTAGTAACTTGAACAAGTGAGTTTAAGGCACAGTGGGAAGTTTTTCATAATATGGTATTTGCACGTTTATCCATACAAAATATACTGTGTAATTTTCTTTATGCCTGGTTGACTTCCTTGTGATGAAAGTACTTAAGCTTCTACATAAAGGACTGTTGTCGGTGTGCCTTATGGTAGTCTATCACTGGCACATGGAAGCTGCATTTATTCTTTTCTATGAAGTTAAAAATCATGCTAGAGGGGAAAGAGATGGGAATATTCAGGGGGCGGAATGTTAGAAAAGAGAATCTGGATCCTCTTATTTAAGATCACTGTGAAAGGTCTAAAAGTTACTCACTTTGTAAATAAATGTGTAGCTTGATGAGATTTTTAAAAATATCAGCAGTCACCTTTTGATCCTCAAGGTTGAAAGCACTAATCAAAATACATTGTAGGGGATCACATAGTAAATTACTTACTTTAATCCAAGAAATTTAAGAGTATTTTATGACATGTAAACAATAAAAAGTAAAAATGTTTTGAATCAGATGCCTTCAGGAGACCATAAGTTCTTTATTGCTCTGCTGAGCATTTTTGTTTTGTTTTAATTTAACCCCAAATAATTATTTGTAATGTTTGTTAAACTCACTTGTATGTGTGGTCACCCACAACATGTAAAAAATCAAGGCTGCAACAAACAGGTGAGTGTCCAAATGTATGTTTACGTTCTCCAAATTTGGGTACCTATTGACAGATTTTCTAAATGAGCTCCTAACTGGGATTGATTATTTGGATTTTCTGGGTGATTGACTTTATTTTGAAAAACGCTTATCTACCAACCATTGTCTATTACAACATGAATTTCTGAATTCAAGCTCTTGAAACATGAATTAATCACTTAGTACTTCTTCATATTTGAAGAATTTGGAATAAAAACCTTAATTTTATACCACATGAGCAAAACGTTTGGGCATAAGTAGAATGAGTTCAGATGAGGATTTGACTTGGAACTGTCTTTGCTTTTGTAAGTATCATGTTCCCTTCATTGTTTTCCTGCTGTGCCTTATTATCATGATTAATGTAATGCGTTGCCCTAGTGAATATAGAAAAGTTTAAAAAAAAAAACCTGTGCTCCAAGTTGGGAACTTTCAGCTCAAAGCAATTTTTGAGACTGAGATGTAAACCTGAAGTCTTCTTTTTTCAAGAAATGTCTCAGCTGTAGCATGAGCACTTGACTGGCCAAACAAAGTGTACAGTGTCAGAGAAATAAGTCAGCTGCTCGTACCGGCATGTTTTTCTTCACTATACCTTACTGTGATCTCTAAACAGCTGAAAGGGAATAATATGCATGTAGAATAAAATTCTGAGTTTTGGTAGAAGGGCGTGATTGTACGGTAGTAGAATTTTAAATCTGAAATGTGATTTGCACTCTGCGGGCTCTTTTAATGTGTCTAATTTGGTGGGTTTTGACTTTTGGGGGGATGTCTAATTATTTCCCCTCTTTTGACAGATATGAAGAAACAACATGTCATAGAAACCTTAATTGGTAAAAAGCAACAGATTGCTCTGGCTACTCAGATGGTTAGAATGATTCTAAAGATTGATGATATTCGTAGGCCAGGAGAATCTGAAGAATGAAGGCTGAAAAACAAGGAATAAAATGTAATAGAGCCACTGCACTAAGAAAAATCAGTGGGATCTCAACAGTTCATCTTCAGCTATTTATTTCTTGACAACTTTTCTTTTTGTTTTAGATACTGTAACTGCTAGTTGTTGAAGACAATAAAGTACCATTTAGCAGTTGTGGCTTCAAGAGTTGTTTGAGGCATCATTGTCTGTTCTTACGTGTTTCCTAGCAAATATTCACATCCTTTTATATTGACATGTGTCAAGAAAGATAGCTCAGATGTTCTATTGTTCAAATTATTTATGGCCCTTCATCTATTGTCCCTGCAGCAGACTCCTCCTGTTGCCTGTAGGCAGAATCTCTTACCATTGAATGTCCAGTGGTCTGGATTCTCTAGCTCTTCAGTGCAGCAGACTGGAAATTCTGTGTCAATTTACATAAACTTTAAAAATGGAGTCTTGTATGGAATTAAATATGCACATGAATAATGCAGTATTCTTTGTTCACATAATAAATTTGATTTTACACTGTCCATCCTCCCTAATTTTCAGTTTGTTGCAGAATTTTGTATTAGTCATAGCTGCATTTTAGAAATGTAGAAAGTCCAGTCCTTTCATTTTCCTCTAAAATTGGACTACATCATTTGTTCTTATCTTTATTTTGGCTCAGTTTCAGCAAATCACTTAAATCTGTGCTTAACTTTAGTAACTGGGACTACTTGTGCTGAAAATTACGTATGTTAAAGTGCTTTGCTCAATAAAACTACTTGTATGCTTCAGTGCTTTGCAGAATTAGGGGTCTTTGTAGCTGGTCTGTTTTAAAGCTTCCATTTCCCTTATGTGAGCATTTAATTTTTATTGTTCTCTAAACTAGTAGTTTTAGCTGCTTTTACTTAACAGTATTTCATTTTAAAATGAAAATTTGTGATCAACTTTAACAGTGATTAGTGCTACTCCCTATTGTTGCCACTTGGGGTACAGCTACACAGGGATAAAAGACCCACAGCATGGCCGTGGTTGACCCGGGTCAGCTGACTTGGGCTTTGGGGCTAAAAGTTGTTGTGTAGATGGTTGAGCTCAGGCTGGAGTCAGCTCTGGGACCCTTCAGCCTCACAGGGTCCCAAAGCTCAAGCTCCAGCCTGGGCCCAAATGTCTACATAGCAGTTTTTCAGCCTGAGCCTGTCAGCTGACTGGCCAGCCATGGGTTTTTATACCTTGTAGACATACCCTTGAATGCTGACACATGATGAAACACCACCTCACAGGAGAAACTAAAGACTAACATGATAAAACTCCGTGGAGACCCAACGGCAGTGTTTTACTGCAGTTTAAGAAGGCAAGATTAAATTCTTTCACTTGAGAAATTTAAATCACAAAGTTCAAAACCTACTTTCCTAATAATTAAGTATGTCACCCATTTCTAATAAATGAAGTAAAACTGAACTTCAACTTCCATGTGCTTCAACTGCACAGAGGAGCTTTCTACTATGGAAAGTGACATACTGAAGAATAATCTACACTATGCTTCAGTAATGGCTATTTATAGTGTAAACATTGAGAGGTGTGGATTCTGGGTTGTTTCGAAAATAAATTATCAATCATGCCAACAGCTCCAGTATTGTTTTCCAGAAATATTGTAGCTGTCATTTCAAGATATACTTGTTTCAAAAGTGTTCCAGTACTGCATAGCATATTGGGAATGGTACAATAAAATTGCTCAGAAGACCTTAAATGAGAAATGGCTGGCAAGTTACTATTCCACTGTAAGTTATTTGTGTGTTAAATCTCAAAAGGTGTAAGCTAATATCTAAAAGACCTTTTCATTGGTGCCTACCTGTTAAATAGATCTTTAAATGTGCAATTCTATAGGAAGAATTGAGTTGTTGACTCAAGTCCAAACATTAGATTAACATCAAATTATATTTTTTTAAAAAATCAAATGCCCTAAAGTTTTAGTTGAGGCTTTAATAGGGAAATTCAGTTTATGGTTTCCTAACTCACCTGTGTTAACTGCATGCATCCATTTCAATAGTTACCATATAATTGTGCTGTGGGGGGCCACCACAATCTGCCTGAGCATTAGGGCTGTCAAAAGTTACGGGATCCTTCATGGGCCTTGCCCTGCTACCATGTTTCCATAGTTGCATGCAAAGTGCTAGCTTGGTGCTTCCAAGGAAGCCTCTGCCAGATTCTGAGGCAGCAGATAGATATAGGAGCAGCTGCCTTGTATAGTGTTTGAGGCTACAATTTCAAGCTCCCCTTTTTTGCTACAGAACTTATGTCAGCTCCCATACATGGGTAACATGTTTCGTTTTTGGGGAATGCCGAGATGATCAGCCAGGAAGTAGGGGAGGAAGAAGACAAAAGAAATTAAAGCCCTCAAATCTTTCCTCCCAAAATATTAAATTAACAAGTGAGAGAAAATAAGAGTGGAGCTAGTTCACATATGTGTGTCACCCATCTACGCAGCCTTTGGAAGGTAGGGGTGGAGAGGGCTCCAACAAAATGGGTTGTGAATCATAAGATTAAAGTGGAGTTTCTTTTATGTTGTATTACTGGCAGGAGATTGTCTTCTTGCTTACTGTGTGATTCTGTACTCAAAAGCTATTATAGGCAGGGCTGATACTACTTCCTCTTAAGGCTGCCTGATACTTCCCATTATAAGATCCTGTGTTCAGTTGCTTAAACTTTGCCAAACTTCAACTCTTCAGAGTGAAATTTTCCAAGGCAGGTGTCAGCCTCAGGCTGAATATCTTTGGAAAATGTCAGACAAAACTGTTCTGTTTCCAAGAACAAGTTTAGAGATTAGTCCAATTTGCCCATATTAAATTGTGGAAACCTTTTCTTTGAGATGGTCTAGCACCTCCAGGCCATAGAGTAGGGCTTTTGCCATGCCTGTGAAAATTTACCTAAATTTGGCCAAGTGCTATGCGTTTGAAAAATTGCAGTTTGCACATTCTTGGGGTGATGTGGGAGCTTGGCAGCTAAATTCCCTAAAGCTTCCATTTGTGCTGAGCAGGACTTTCCCTGCATTTGTAGCTGTGGGCTCTCGCTTGTGCTGTCAGTGCCTTCCCTGATGACACAGCCACCATGGAAGAGGAAGTTAACTGCTTTGAATGCAAAAGGGGAAAGAGCCACAGTTTTTCATGGAGATGGGGGAGATTTGGAAAAGGATCCTTTGTGAAGGGGAGAGTGACGGGCTGGACTAGGATGCTGGGACTATGAAAAGAAGTCTGAGGAGTGGAAACGAATTGGGTAGGCAAGATGGGACTGGCATGAGGAGCCAGGGGTATGGAAGTGATAGGACAGGGACAGATTGGAGGGAATAGAGCGGAAGTGTCTGTTCCCCGCTACGCTACAGAGCCTGGAATGGAACTGAAGATTCCTGCGTCTCATCATTCCTCTGCTGTCAGCAAATATCTGTGAAACCCACAGACAGAGTCTGTGTCTCTCCCTCTTGTAATGCTGGTCTATGTGGAGGATGACAACCTACTGTTACTATCAATTATTCCTTTAGTTCAACTGGCAGGGGTCTGTGCAGTGAATCTAAAGGTTCCAACCCTTCTGAAAACACGGGCTCAATATGGTTCCACAAGACAAAATTTGATTTTTATTTTGTTTTTTTAATTTAGAAAATTATATTAAAAATATATTTAAAATGTTGCAAAGTCAAGCACTCAAAAGTTAGGAAATGCCAGAGTTAAGGTTACCAGTTTGTGTGCAGTATGACAGTATTTAATTACATGATCACATATAATTTTTCCACAAGACCATTGCCTCATTCAGTGCACAGACTGGACTCTGCTCTGGGAATGAATCAGGGTTAAATACTATGTAAAGTACTGGTACAGGCAAGTCTGGGCCTACCCAAAACTAAAGGTCCTTCCCTTCAACTAAGGGAGAAGAACCACTAAGTCCAGGCGCCAATTGATTATGGAGGACAACAAAGGAGAAAACAGGAACACCAGGGAGGTCAAAGTTTAAAAATCAAGAAACCAGAAGGGGACACCAACAAGAGAACCCCAGACAGAGCCCACTGTCCCTCAGGCTTTTAGGGAGTCAGTGGGCACTGCCCAGAGGAACTCTGCCAGGAGATGTGATAGGGTAAGGGAATGGAAACAGGCCCCACAGTTGCAAAGTACCCACCCCCATCCTGCTTCCTCCTCCTGGTACGGTAGATGGCCACCATGGCCAGTGTCAGGAGGAAGTTGATGAGGAGGTCCCATGACTTTGTGGGGCCACGGATGGGGTCTGTAGAAATCAGACAATGCAGGGAAAAGTGAAGCCAGAACCTCAGCAAGAGATGCTGCAACCTGATACACCATACCGAGATCTCCCTCTTCCTGCAAAAGGGACAGGTGTCCGGTGAGTTCACGAACCACAGCAGGTACACACACCTGTGCTCAAGGTTCCATGAAGGTGCTGCCAGCTAACATTCCTGGAGGGCCCACCAGGGTTCCTCACCCTCCTTAGGTGACAACAGGTCCTGCCATTTTATGTCAGGGTGGGACACAAAGGCAAGAAAGTGGATGGTGTGAAGCACGAGCGCATACAGATGTTGTTGGGTGCAGTTCAGAGGCAGACCAGCTAAATGTTATGCAGTCAGCTGAGGTGGCATGTTGGGGACACACAGGGAGAGTCGTTGGGCAGGGTACCAAGGGGGAATTCTGGAGGGCCAGAAGTGAGGCATGGGTGGGGATCACCCTCCCACAGGACCCACTTGTGGAAAGTGAGAGAAACAGGAGACAAGGCTGCCCTCATTTCCTGTAGTACACAATTTGCGGGAGTGTTGAGCATCCACAGCTGCAATTAATGTCAATGGGATCTGTGCTTTGTACATTTAAAGTTCTATATAATGCTGAGTGTCCACATGCTCTGTTATGTTGCTGTGGGAACCTTACATTCTGAAGTCTTTGACTAGTGATTAAAATCTCAACCTTAACCTTGCATATACGTAGTGATGTGCATGTACCAATTTTTTCAATGTGAACATGAAAAAGAAAATACTAGAGCTACAGTTAGAACTGCAGGGGGCAGTATAACTCCATGACTCCCCTCTGGGTGGAACCATCATACACACTAGAGAACAGAAATACATTTACAACAACTTTTGTCTTGTTTCTTACCAGAATCAAACTCTTCTTTAAAAAGTTCATTTCACAACCAGAATTGGGTTATAGCTCCTAATCATGCTTTACCAACAAGTATAATCCTAACAGTCAAACCCTGTTAAGGTTATGGACATGTAAGCTCCATGTGTGCCTATCAGCAATGTTCTGACAAACTTTTCTTGATCATTATGCTCCTGGTTGCCTGACCTTCCTGCCCCTACTTGCATGCACTTCCCATTAAGAATTTTGTGTGCACAATGACTGCAGGATTAAACCTGGAAGAATACCAGCCTGATAATTAGTTGCAGGTCTACCTTTATTTCATCACAATACAACTTAATCATTTTTTAAACTAATTGGAAGTTGTGTAATGTTTTTAAATTAGTTTGTAATATTCCAAAACCACCACCTTTAAAAATACC